ACTATGTGATGAATCTGTATAGTGAAAATTATGTTAAAAATGATAAAATGGTAGAACTTTTTGTGAAAAAACTAAAAGCTAATGTTTGCAGTGATAACATGTATTTGTGTACCCATTGTGTTCAGACCTGTAATTCTTCCATGATGTATAAATGAATTTAATGAGAAATAAAAAAACCTTACAATCATCATCTGTTTTGTTGAATTTTATTTAAAGATAGTGATACACAAAACATAAAAAACATGAAACATGTTGACATTAAAAATGCATCCATCGGCTCTTATCACGAGTAGGTGAAACAAACATGTCCTCATCTAGTAGCTGTGTCCTTTGCTGGTTTTTTCTCTTTTTACGAGTAGTTTTTTTAGTAGACAGAATCTCCTGATCATCGTCAATAGGATTGTTTTTTAAACTAATAATCTTACTCCGAACTTGTTGGTTTGGTACAGTCGAAAAAGGTATGTTTAATTCCGCGCATGCTTGAAGAAACTCAGTCCAGCCTTTAGGTCTTCGGTCATCTCGTACTTGTTGCGGAGCTGTAACGTTGTTTATTAAATCGAGCATGTGTGAACCAGGTATGGTTTTACCCTTAAACACAAACTCACCAGACTCGGACCAGGAGCTGAGATCTTTAGCTTTAGACATTTTGTCTAATATATACTTGCTGTTTTTCACACGTTTTGTCGGAACGTTCTTTAGAACTTCAGACGTCACATCATCTTTTGACTTGTCTTCAGCATGTGTTTCGTCAGAGTTAACTTTATGATCGTCTTCAGGGGTTGGTAGCGATAGCGTTAAAACACTACTCTCACGATCGCCTAGTTTAACAATTGTTAAATATCTGGTTAAGATGTTTGAGTAAAGTTTAACTTTTTCACGTTGATCCAAATCAGTCCTGAGTAAAATATTTCTTATAGCCGTATCAAGATCGTTCTCTACCACCTGTTGAATATTTTCACGAGCGCTTGTTGATTGTATTTTGTCCAGCTGATTCTGTGGTACGAGATACATTTTCTCTGCATACTCCATCCTTCAACCCTGTCTAGAACCGATCAAACTTGAAATAAATGGTATAGCGACGCTTAGGAGCGGTAAAAGAAACCCGCCAGTCTGATTAAAGACTTTTTTCTTAGCCGCAATGTTGATTTTTTTATTAGCGAGGAATTTTATCGCCGCCCTCTTCTTTTTCAATTTTCTGTATTGTTGGTTGTTGATCGGTATAACTCCGTGTAGGATGTTGAGAGCGAGTTCGCAGAGAGCTAAAATGAGATCGTCAGATGCTGACTGGAGAATAAGTCGTCTTTGTTTAGCAGTAGATTTATGTAACATTTTTAATACAGGCAAATGTTTACATAGTCTCGCGGACATGGTTCGTTATCACGATCTTCTTTTTTTCTGGAGATAGACCACCTGACGATCTGAAAACAATCCTGTTCTGAGTCGAAATTGTTCAGGTGTTTTAGCTTTATAGTCGATCATGAGATACCCGAAAGGACTCTTGACGGCATCTTGATAACATTCCATAAAATATTTTGTGTTATCAGGATACATTTGACGCCCCAACACCGCTACTTGATTAGCATCGCGGGGGTTTTTAAACAATATTAAATAATTTGTGTTCAAACTGATGGTTCTGCTGGATTTACCTTGAACAAACAAATTTTGTACGATAAGAATTGCAGAGAGATTACGATGATGAACGTATTGTGTGAAGACTTTTTCAATTTCGGAATTACCGCTTGCTTCTTTCATCATATCGTCAATAATCAACAAGTTTGTTTTATCACGGGGTAGTAGATGATCATCATTCAGACTCTGAGGTATACCTTCAATGAATTTAATGTCATACAATTTAAGCAATTCGTCATACAAAGGTTGCCAACAGTCATACAGAAAAACAACATTATCAATTTTTTTAGAAATCATATTTACAGCATTTTCCAATAACATTTTTACAAAAAAGGACTTCCCTGAATTGGATGGTCCACTTATGACACATGAAAACGGATGTTGAAGTCTGAAATCAAAATCAACCATTTCACGCATTCCTCTATACACTGAATTAAAAGCCATAAGGCAGAGTTGTGTAGTTGGGTAAAAGTCTTCGCTTGTTATACACCACCTTGAACTTTTTAACGACTGATTTGTTGTGGAGTGTGAGGTGTTTTTTATTCCTGACAATGTTGTCAGCTTGAGCTAAAATGTATCGAGAGTCATCGCCTGATGTAACATACCCATCAACCAGACCAATCAATGTGTCTAATCTTATCGTTTGGGAATTTTTAGCATTCAGAGTTATACCCTTAGCTTTCATGCAGACTTTACCGGAAGCGGTACGGTAACCATATGACTTTGGGCCGCTGGAACAAAACTCGGTAATATAATCACCATCGCCTATTTCATCTGTCAAGTCCCCCAAATAATCACCCAGAGGTGGCATCCAGTCACCCTCCTTGGATACAAAAATAACACTATCTGTGTCAGAGTATAATAAACGATCACCAAGTTTGTCCATCAATTTGTACAATTCTAACCTCCCCCAGGCAGAAGTGTACGCCCCTACGAATACGTTAATGTCACGAATAATGCGATGACTATCTTCGGTAGGGTGAAATTGCACTAGCGCTACATCATCTGAGATGAAGGTAAAATATTTCAATGCATCAGTTTTACCGAAAACAATCGTTGTGAATTCTTCAGGGTCTCGTACAAGTTGCGTAACAGAATGACGAGACTGCATTGCGAAACGTCCCCACAGCGTGTTCAAAATCTGCTTGTTTATAGTTCTTTGGGCGGGGCTACGACTGATCTGTGAAGGGTCAAGTTGAATTCCCTCTCTCTCATAGTATTTGCGGATGTATGTCTCTTTTTCAGAATCAGTGGTAACGTTTGAAGGGTATCCGGATGCTTGTTGTTTTAAACGTAAAAACGTTTTAACGTATTCGCTAAACAACTTGTCTGACCTTTCAGGAAAATGCCAAACTTCGTCGACTTTGACCACGACATACCCTTTCTCAATCGCTTTTAAAAGTTCAACACTGACCCAACACCCACTAAGTGCCCTCTCATCATCCGTATGATTACATCTCGATGTTTGGTTTTCATCGTGTGCGCATGTTCTGCATAACGGGAACATGAGTTTACCGCCGCATCTGTAAGGGAGGACCGGATGTAATAATTTTCGGGGGGGATACACTGTTGCCTTAATAAGACCGTAATAATTTTCGATCGGCTGAAAGTCGTTGAAAATTATTTCGGGGTGCCCTATTGGATACGTCTTTGTACTCATAACAAAGGGATAGAGAGATGTTACATCGAGATAAGAAATGGTCTCCCCCTCCCCCACTTTGTGATACAACTTATAAGCATTGGTACGTCCTCCGAAAAGCGCATCTCTTGGTTTCAGTCTTTCAGGCGCCGAATAAGTGCTCATAAATTCTATCACTGAAGGGTCTGTTTGTTTCATTCTAGACCATTCGCATTCCCAGATAATCTCTACTTTCAAGCCATAAGCGTTTTGTAGAATTTCAATTTTTTCATCAACTTGGCGTCTGAGAACACCAAAGGGTACACCCGACAGTGGGTGGAGTTTGTGAGGCTCATAGCGGCATTGGTGCGCGTGAAATAGACAGCCCAAAAAATCAAGGCCATACCTTGAACCCCCCTGTTCGTAGTAGCCGTCTAAAAAGTATTGACCAATTTGCATTTCACCATGATTCAGAGCATGATGAATGTCAACGTTTCTAGTCTTTTTTAAATACTCCAACCATTCAATCGAGACACTCGAGAATGTCTTATTTTGCCGAATGTAGGCATTTTCATGGGTTAGAGCAATAGTGTGGTCTTTCAGATAGTGTGTCTTGAAGATCGCCATACAACAACTCGGAAGAGTTGTGTAACTAAATGGATCGATTTGTGTACACTCTATGAACGATTCTCTGTATGTCATGCATGCTTCACGCAGCAAGACAACATCATTTACACCATATTGGCACAACTGTTCCTTGAAGTCGAAAACCTTCCCTGAAGTAGTAGCGTACCACGCATCGAACTTTGCCTGATCTTTTTCCGATAGGTTTTCGTAACCATAATACTTTTTGTCAGGATAAGGTCCTACGTAGTTCTCATTTTCTAATCTATTGAAATGATGCGGAAAGTAGCCTTTTTCTGTTGTGGTGAGATTTAATGCTGCCGGCATCTTAGACAGAGCCATCGGTATGAAGGATATGCTATCTATATAGCGTTGTTTAAATGAAACATCGAACATGAAGATTAATTTACAACCTTTCATGATGATATCCATTTGAAGCCCTGCTTTACAAAAATATTCAAGAATTAGAAAGGAGTCAAATCCGGATGCGTTATGAGCTATGAAACAATAGCCTTCGTATTTGGGTTTTCTGAAATGATCAATCATTTTTTTCACACAGTCAGACCCCCCGGCTACAAATCTTTCACCAGAAAACGTTATTGCGCAGACAAAATTTGCTACGTGTCTCCCATTTTCATAACGAGTCTCGAAATCGTAAAAGATGTATTTATTCTGAGGGTCTTTGAGTGGTACTGTTTTAATGAAACACTCATGTTCTCCACCAGTGACAAGTTCTTCACGACATGCACCACAACGGTTTGGTGCACATATGTGTTTAGACTTTTTCTTATCGTACCGTCTATTGCATTTCTTGCAGTATTTTATAAAGTTGCAAGGTACTTTTTCTCCTTCAAGCATAGGTTTCTTATGAGCTTGGTAGCAGTAAGAAGATTTGCAGTAGCGCAAACAATCGGTACAATGAATGATTTTTTTAGGATGCTTGTAACATTCGATGTCGAAGCAGACGTTACAGACGTGTTTGCATTGATGATTTCGCAGTGATGTGTACCCCTTATAGCAGAATTCACACACAAAGTTAGCACCTATGAATGATTTCAGATTGAGAATCATGTAGTAATGTTCGTCTTGTAAATAAAGGTACACCGTTTTGTCATGAGGTTCGGTGTTATTTACGTATGTTTGTAACACACCGGTGTTTGTCCTATAAAAAACAACAATTTTGATGTCTAGCATGTTTTCAAATTTTGATATGTCGTGAAAACCGACCTTGTCTTGGATAGCAAGACCCACTTTATTGTGTATGATTGATGCATGGTTTTCTAATTCACACTCAGGTAATTGAGGGTCTAGAAAATGAGCTATACAGATAGAGAAACATAATTTGTTTGAAATATTTGTAGGTATAAACAAGCTCGTCTTTTTTCTTTTGATTACCTGATCAAACGCCAAATCAGTAAGTTTACGACGAGCGCCACCTCCTCCTAGTCGGTTCATTACAACCTCTGCTTCAATCTCAACAGTTTCGTTAGCTGATAACTTATCATCGCTCTGCAAAATTTTTACAATTTGATCTGTAAAAAGATTAACGTCGTAATTATTAGCCGTTGTTAAAACTGCATTTACATCCGATTTCAGGCTGGGGGTTCGAAGGCATAAATTGATGACGCTACCATCGCCGCCAATCTGTCTAGCGAATGACACAATGTCATCCATGGTATCGTGTAAACGTATGTGGTACGATGCTAAATCCTGAGATCTTATTTCACTCATATTCAATGTCCTACGCAACGATACACTATTGAAACGAGGCCTTGGTAAAACATGATATTCGTTTACATTACCGCCATCTCTCAACAATGTTTCAATGTCTATCTGTCTTGTTGGCCTATGCCTTAAAGGCTCCGCAACATTTGAGGTTGATGGTTGTTCATCATCGACATTTGACTGGTGTGTTGATTCAATATCAGTCCTACCGTGTGTTGCATGGCTAGTTGAATGACTGTCGTCGTCATCATCATCATCATCATCAAAACCATCATCTGTCAGTTGGCTGTTAACAGTAGCAGAAGCACTAGTTTCCTGAGTGACTGCACCACCGCTCTGTTCACTGTTTAAAAAAGATTCAACATCTTCAGGCAAATTTAAATTCAATTCCTGTTCTATATACATTTCCAAATCATCCAGATTTGTAATTTGTGAAATAGGAATATTGTTAAATGTTATGTCTCTAGAATTTGGATACATATCTATCATATGTTGAAGAGATGCAAATATGTCTTCATCTCTGTCTGCATCCATTTCGACACCTCTTTGCAGTCTAACAGATAGAGTTTGGTCTGGTTGAATATTGTATGTATCATCTGTACGATTTTCATCATCCATTGTAATTTTTTATTTATTTTATTATTATTTTACAAATATTTTTGTTAATGTTTATTTTATTTCAGACTTTTATGTTTAAATTAGTTTTATTGGTTATTTTAGAATTATTTTGTTTTGTTATTAGATTTATTTTATTGTTTAACTTTTTTCTTCTGTATTTTATTTATTGTTTTATTTACATTTATCGTTTATTTGATTGTTTAAGTTTTCATTTTATTTATATTTGTTGTTTATTTTAGGATTAATATTTGCTGTGTTTATACAATTCAATCTTTATTTATACATATTTAACCATGTTATTAGAAATGGATGTGTGTCAATAATAGGAATACAATTATGAAGTAATTTATATGATTAACTAGAATAAAACACAATGAAATATTTTATTACAACAATTTTAAAAGTTCAAACACTAAGTTCACAATAAAAACAAACTCCAAGGAATACAAATTTAATATAAATCAACAGCAAAAGTTAAAACACTAAACAGCTGAGTCAATTTAAAGTTCATCAAAATGTTAAACTGAATAAAAATACATCGGTATTACATCAAATTTAAACTCATACACTAAACAAATGAGTAAGTTCACAATAAAACAATCACAATTGAATAAACATTTAATATAGATCAACAGTTAAACATTTAAGACAATTTTGAGTACATCAAAATGTTAAGCAGAATAAAACTTGAAATGGTTTTGTATTACATCAAAAGTTAAAACACTACCAGTTAAATCAATTTAAAGTACATCAAAATGTAAAGTTGAATCAAAATACATTTATTTTACATCAATTTTAAAAGCTCAAACACTAAACAAATGACTAAGTTCGTAATAAAAAGAAAGGCAAAGGAGTACAAATTGAATATAGAGCAACATCTAAAGTTAAAACACTAAACAACTAAAGTCGATTACAATTAGAAACATAAGACAAGTATAGCATTTATCAGAGTATAAAATATGGACTTTTAAGTAGTACAATGATGAACGATCGTACAGATGATGAGGATATTTATTTTAGGAATTATTCATCCATCAATGAATGCCTAATAAAAATGAGTAGTTTCGTTATTAACCGATGCCCCCGTTCACTTTTACCCATCAATTGTTGAAGCTCCCCAATTTTTTCATCCATACGTCGCTGTTGCTCAGACAAGAAATCCTTGACATTTTCTATCACACGCTGCTGCTGGCCAATAGAATCCGCTAGAGCATTAATTTTTACCTCATATCTGTCTAGATATTCACGAATCAGACAATAAGCAGGCGACTCGTAAAAGTCTTTGATATTGCAGTGTTTGCTGACGCTACCGGCCTCCTGATTCTGCTGGGGGCGCTGTGGTCTTTCGACGTGTTCCGCGTCTTCTTCTTCTTCTTCTTCTTCTTCTTCTTCTACTGGTGCTTGAAAGGGATAAATCGGCTGATGTGCGCCTCCCTGAGTTGATTCATGATGACCGCTGTTGGAAGCACCTTGTTCGCACCATGGATCTGTAATAAAATGAAATCAAAATATTGTTTAGTATTGAACGATAAATAATACTTAACAATAAAATAATATTCATTTGTTTTCATTCAACAGTAATTATGTTTATTATATTCTCATTATATTGTCATAATCAATTAAATAAATGGAACACTAACCTTCAGATAAATTAAAATTAATAGCAGAAGGATTTGGTTCTGATGGACTGGCATAAGGACTTAGTGGGCTAGCAAGAGGTGTCCATGGATCTGTGTGTGTGTGAAAATATGAAAATAATAGCGTTACGCCTGTTATTAAGTGATTGAAACAAACAAACAAAAATAGGTTATTACCTGATTCTGCGTCTTCATCATCATCCTCATCGGTATCGTATTCTTCTTGCACAGGTGTTTCAGAAATTTTTTGTCTTTTATTTACATATGGTGTGTAAACAATTCTTGGTCTCTTAGGGGCAGAAGTCCCCGGCGCTGCATCAAACTTTTCTTCTCTCAATGATTCTTGTTGCCCCGCAATCTTTTCTTCTTCTTCTTCTTCCACCGTCAAGTCGATAACTTCAATTTTCGCTAAAATGGAGAATGACAAAAATAAATAAATACAAGTTATTACTCATTCCTACAGTAAACAATAGTGATCCCACATCCGTCAGTGCTGTGGCCTATGCATAGCGCATTCGACCGGTAATCGAGCCTTGTCGCATCAGACGGTTCGAATCCACTTAACAACAAAAATTTTGATTTATTTTAAATAAAAAGCATACCTTTTTGCGTTTGATTATCAAACATGTGAGTCGAAGAGGCTATAAGAAAAAGAGAAACGTAAATATCAATAATGATAAAATAAAAAACTATTGTCTACATATCTTCAAAACAATAAATATAATTATGGAATAATACTTACAAATACGATTGATGGCATCAAATGCCTCACTTTCGGAAGGATTTATTTCTGTAAGACATAAGCTGATAGAATGAAAATATATCAAACACTGGTTAATGAGGTAGTATACAAACCGCTAGGCAGATGAAAATATATCAATTTCTACTCACGCAATTCCATATCTTCTTCAAAAGTGACAGAGTTGACCCTCTTCAGAAGTTCCACTCGTTATGACACCGTAACTGCGGATTCAAGTTTACTGTGAATAAGGACAGTATAGGGGGCCTTTTTATGTCAAATGTCGAGAGGCGTTGTCGTATGTTTAAAAGCTGGTTCGGAACGATAAGGGGGCCCCCAAAAAATTAAATAACCTGAGCACGTCAATATTATACTTTGATTATATGAAACTATATACAATCTAATAGATAGTAGCCTAATAAAACGTAACGACATAAAATATTCATGTAATGTCTTTAATCTTGGTGAAAAACACAAATGAACTTGGTGTAATGCTTTAGTGTAGATATTTGATATAATTATAAAAACAAAACTCTTTCAATATTTTGACTGTTTAAAATTTATACCATACATTATTTCATACTCAGGATAACTATCGTTTTGATAGACTATAATAAAACATATATTTTATTTAGATATGTGTGTGTGTGAATGAAAATTTAAAAATTATAAATATTGTTGTATTACATTTGTATTCATATTCTATATAAATGGATGAATGATAAAAAATAATAATTCGTTGATGTGATAGAATATTTACATCTCATATTTTAACATTTTCGTTTATAATATATAATTAACATAGTCTCTGTTATTACCAATATTAAAAATACTTATAATAAATAACATTAAATTAGTATACAATTTTTTGTTAAAAGTTAATACAATAAAACGTTGTATTCACAACTTTTCTTTCAAAGTTACCGCGTTAACCAACAAATATATTATTTTCGACAATAAAATATAATAAAGAATGACAAGTACATATTTCATAGTGTGACCAATAGATGGTGCTATATAGCCTTGTATGAACTCTGTATGTTTTCGTAATATGTTACACACCCTGTTTCGTGGAAAAATACTAGTCATTTATCATAAACAACAATATGCGACGAGTCAACAGTCGAACGCGCTTTTTTCTTATCGAGTAAACCATACATGGGTTGTGACTTGTGACATTTCATATTAGCATCAAAATTACAAGACTCTTTAAAAAAGTTTAATATTCCTGTAATATAAGACGTTATTGAAACAAAATATGAATCTTTTCATGTATAAAATTTAACGCGTTAAAACTATACATTTCACTTTAGGAATGTATCTATTACTGTTCAGTACGATTTAAATGATTTTAATCAATGTTTAAACATATAAAGATTGATAGTGGTTATTAAGTGAACTGTCAAATATGATTGAAAATTACTCTTGACCTTAAATTTATAAGTGCATTGATATGTAATACAACTAAAATCGAATATCATATTTTAGTTTTTCAAAAACAAAAATAGTTGTGTATATAAATATATATATATATATATATATATGTATACACACACACACACACACACACACACACACACACACACACACATACACATACATTTATTTGTGTAAATATGTTATATAAATGTTAAACAAAAACAAATTTTAATCTTATTACCGTTTGATCTTTATGTTATATTGTATTCAATAATAATAGGGTTATACCTAATAAACACAAAACCGTATGTTAAACATCTTATTACTTATTGATTGTTTATTATATTATATATTTTATTGTTTTTATTATATAATAAACAATAATATTAATGATATACGTATGTTAAGCATAAAACCACATGTTAATTATCTTATTACAGATTGAATGTTATATTATATTGTTTGTATTATATAATAATCAATAATATTAATGTTATACATATGTTAAATATAAAAACACATGTTAATTATCTTACTTTCTATTGAACATCATGGTGAAACGCTACACTATAAAGTAATAATAATAATATTAATACTAATATTAATACTATTAATAATAAATTAGCTGATGTATATTTTATTTATTGTGTGCTTTAAGCCTTAATGAAAAATGATCATGAGGCCCCTCTCACTCTTCTCCCTGCAGGCTTATTATCACACACACACACACACACACACACACACACACACACACACACGCACACACACACACACAGACACAGACACACACACACACACACACACACACACGCACGCACGCACGCACACAGGCACGTATGCACACACAGACACACACACACACACGCACGCACACGGACACACACACACACACACACACACACACACACACACACACACACACACACACACATATGAATACAGTTGACTGCATGTTAATAGTTTATTAATTATAATATAATATAATATGATATAATATAATATAATATAATAATATAATAATATAATGATATAATATAATATAATATAATAATGTAATACTATAGTATAATAGAATAATAATGATATATAATATAAAATAATTAAATGTAATATAAATAATAATATAATAATATATTATAATATAAGTTAATAACATTTTAATTTTATATAATTTAATATGATATAATATAATACATAATTTTATTTAATAAAATATTAATTTTATACAACTTAATATAATATAATATAATTTGATGTAATATAATAAATATAATTTACATCACTAATTAAATATTAAATAATGCTTCTAATAACAGTAATTGAATTACCGTTATTATTATAATATTAATTTTATTTCAGTTTGATTAGAATTTAATTAGCGGTAATAATCTATTAATTTAATTAGTCTGATAAGAATCTAATTACCGGAACTATTATTTTATATTAAACCGATAAGAATCTAATTACCGGAATTATTATTTTATATAAAAACGATAAGAATCTAATTACCGGAACTATAAAGTTTATATAAAAGGGGCGGGGCTTAGACCGGAAGTCCCGCCTTAGGGGCGGGGCTACAATCCATCAAACTTTTTGACAGGTAGTCCCCCATAAGTACTACTCAGACTGTTGTTGGAGACCCCCAAAATCAAAATGTTTTAATGCTTAACAGGGGCTCACATTTCCATTCTGCTAGTTAATCTCTTCTCCTATGCATCTGGACTACATCTAATCAAATCTGTAAATAAATATGAATTCATTGAAATTCATGGCAGTGATTTAGACTCTTTATGCAAAGTACCAATTGAAACTTCTGTAAAATACTTAGGAATTACTGTTGCTAAAGACAGTAATCTTAATATTCAGAATAATTTTGTAAATCAATTTCTAAAAGCAAAAAAAAAAAAAAAAAAACATTCTTAATGGTTGGTGGGAAAGGGATGTCTCAATATTTGGATGAATTATATTAACCAAAAGGGAATTGTTATCTAGATGTGTTTATCGAGCCTCTCACTAGCTATCCCCCCACATTTAATAAAATAGAACAGGTGTTTAATTTTTAATTTTGTCTGGAAAAACAAGTATCTCTGCATTAACAAAAATGACTTGGTTCACAGATGTAGGGAAGGGGGCCATCATTTTATTGACATGGAATTAATGAACTGGGTTCTAAAAAATGCAATGGCTAAGATAAATTCTTTGTAACAAAAACTTAAAGTTACTTCTGCAGTATTTTGCAAAATATGTGGTTTTGACTTTTTGATCAGATGTGCTTTTGTACCGTCTAAACTTTGTGTCCCATTATGCTGGAAACTAACCTTTTCCTACAATTTCAGTCCTCATAAGACTTGTTTATGGAACAATCGTTTTATTTTACATCAAAATAAGTCTTTGTTTTAGGAAAAATTGGTTAAAAATAATATTTATTTTCTTTACTGGATATGATGAATAGCCACGGTGACATTCTTAATTACAATAACTTCTGCGTCAAACATGGTCACCCTAAATAGTTTTACACAATTATTAATGCTATTCCTAAAAACATCATAGTATTGATCAGAGATATTTTTTCATACTATTCTGTACTGTTTTCTCTTTCATCTCTGTTTTTGGCCACTTAATGTTTGGAGACACAAAATATAATAATTTTATAAGGAATATTCTTATTCAAAGGCTTCATCCTAATCAGCTCAGACCTTATTTTATTTTGAAAGATTTTAATTCACAGGAATTCGGGAAAAAGAGTTACATTTCTTATCCAATTCTTCCCTATATTAAAGAGCTCCAGTTTAGAATGATTAATGTGTATCCATCAAAAGAATTACTGAGATTAAAATGTAATACTGATGATAAATCTTGTCAATTTTGTGAAAGTGATATTGAAATCACTGAGCTTATTTTCTACAATTGCATATACTCAGTTATTTGGGCTCATGTACATGACAGAATGTGTCATGTCAATATCCATGTAAACCCTTTTTGCTATAAACTAGTTCAATTTGGTGTAACAAAAAAAAAAAGTATAATAACCTTTTATGCTTTGTAAAATTCTCCGTTCATAAATGCAGGTTTTTATGAAAACAAAAATGGGGAAGATACACATTTTACCCCCACATTGTACCTGTTATTAATGAACTTGCTATTATGGTTTCATCACTTAGTACTTTGTTAAATAATAAAGCCACTAAAGTAGCTTTTTTTGTCAGCAAATTATGTATCCTATATGCCCTTCTTAACCCTTTGAAGCTTTTTATTGTATATTTATATATATATTTTTTTTTATTTTTAACGTCAAATACAATTGTCATTTCCATATGCTGTTTTTTTTCTATATTTGTGTCTGCCTATTGTAATTGTATTACTTCATGCTTGTTTATGCATGTAAAGCCTACTGTGTTTGTACATTTATTTTGAACATTTATTAAAAAAAACATAAAAGTTAGATCTAGTATATGATACCATTTATATTTTTTTTAATGTTGGTGGTTTAGAGTTTCTTTTAATGTGTGACTTTGAGATTAATAGACTCATATTATGCTGTCTACATACACACACCACTTACAGACAGTTCACAATATAATCGGCGCACATGAGCAGTGCAGTATGTATTGCATATGAATAATAATTGGAATGAACAGAGAGCTGAAGTGCTTCAGTAGTCTGTTGAGTACTGGAATTAGCATGTAAGCTAACAAATCACTCATGTTCTCATTCACAATAGTGACACTGGGTTTCCCATACACAGATTTATTTGTGGTAATGTGGGAGTTTTCACACAAACGTATCTTGTTGTCTACAGAAAGTTTAATTGTCTTCATGAAGAAAACTTGTTTCTTTTCTCAAATCAGTCAATCAAAATAAAAGTGTAGTGTTTTGAAACCAAAGTTTTCATTTGTACCCACAACCCTCAAGATTTCAACACTCAACACAATCAAGATTAAATCAAGTCAAAATCTCATAATCTGACACAAATCTGATCGGTGGTAACTGGCAAATGTCATTGTGTAGTCTGAACAGGGTTTAGGGAGTCTGCATCAGTGGCTCACTGTCATTGACTTATGGCGAGTTCACACCGCAAGAGTTTACCTGGACTTTCATTCGCCAACAAGTTTTGTGAAACTGCAGACAAAAGCCCAAAACTGGAGGCAAATCGGTGTTTGTTCACACGAGTGACATTTAAACAATGTGAATGATCAAAAACACAATCTAAGGGTGTAGCTCAGTTTCTCCTCCCTAATCTTTCTAATTTTCTTTTCAGTGCCAACCAATTGATGGAAGTGTGCAATGTGCAAAAATATGGTTCTCGGTTCATTATAAAGTTGGAACTCTAACAACCTGGTGACCCATGATCTACACTACAAAAAAAAATCTTCACCCCTCTTCAGTTATTGAGTTTAAATCTTCAGGGCCCGGTTTTTCAAAAGTAATCCACTAGGATTTTGGATAAGGGATTGGATCAAATCTTGAATATGGGTTTTTCAAAAGAAAAAACGGATTACCTAATCGGATTAGATCACGTAATCTAATCTTGGTTTTGATCTGGATCAAACCTTTACTTTGGGTTTTTCAGACCTTTTTTGTAGGATTTGGATCACTTTGATCCAAAAAACCTGGATTAAACTGATCCCATCAGAAAGGTGGATTTAGTGTGGATTTCATGCCCAAAATGTAATAAAAACTTAAAAACTTTACTAAATAATACGATTTTTGGATCACACAGTATCTTACGAGATATACTATTGATTCATAAGGTTTTTATTTTATTTGTTCATCCGTCAGGCTGTAGTGATTATTGGCTTTAACGTATTCAGCCTTTCAGTATAGGCCAACAGCAAAGTAGAAATAGCTTGGCCTCATAAAATAATCCCCCAAACAGCTGTCAAAATTGACCAAAAACAATACATTGTATTGTCAATAATTGATATCTATATTCATCACAATGGAAAATATTTTTGTTTTTAGAATATTTATTAGTGATGCATGCAATAATTACAGAATAATCAAAAAAAAAGTGCAAAGAATGGCAATGACTGATTTTAGAAATCTCTTTCAACAATTGCAAAAAGAGACTGAAAGAGCAGAAGCACAGCTTCATCTGGCAGAGGAACAACTGACTCTAACCAAAACTGCAGCAAACCAAGGCCAGACTTCAGATCCGCCTCCTAAAGGCTACACTCAGACAAGCTGCTCTCTCCACATCAGATGAGGAAGTCTGAAATTATTGTAGAGTTTTTGACAATTAGTCTTTTTTTTATTTACATCTATATTTGAAACTTATTATAAATATCCTCAATGTACAGTGTTGTAGGTCTCAGATGAGCGGACTGCTGGAAGAGGATGGGGTGGGGTTTTTCTTGTTTTTCTTATTTATTATTATTATTTTATTATTTATTAAATTTTCTTAGTTTGCATTTCAAATAAAAATAAAGTTATATTGACCCCACACTGGCTATTCTACTTGTTGCTCTTTACACAGGCCTATCTATTTATCTACATTGTGATTGAGCACTGGTAATCCAGATTTAGTGATCCTGAAAAGTTCCTATCCAGATCAGATTGATCCAATCCGATGTTGCTTTGAAAAACTGGCTCAAAAAGTAAGCTGGATTACGTGATCACGGATCGCAAAAACAGGATTACTAAATCCAGATCAATTTGATCCGATTAAACCTTTTGAAAAACCGGGCCCTGGTGTTCAAAGGGTTTCATTTCCAATAACTTGACATGTATTCAAGAGTTCACACTTGTTTGGCATGCTGTCCCGGGAGAGAGCCCTAAGCTCCGCTGGACAAAGGCTCAATTTTGAGGACTCTGCTCTCCATTGTGAAGCTTCATGTGAGTGTTGAGGCTTCTTTTATATTTAAAGCCCTTTCCACATTCTTTGCATCTAAAACCATCCTCTCTTGAGTGAGTTTTCATGTGTTGCTTAATAGCATCTTTGCGTGTGAGACTCTTTCCACACTGATCACATGTGAACACTATGGTTCCAGTGTGACCATTCGTGTGGTTCTTGAGGCTAGCTTTGGTTGTGAAGCTCTTTCCACACTGAGCACATGCAAATGGCTTCTCTCCGGTGTGAGTTTTTATGTGGTTATTGAGTGAGCTTTTACATGTAAAACTTTTACCACACTCTGAGCATATGTAAGGTTTCTCTCCAGTGTGAATCCTCATGTGGATCTCAAGCTCTTGTTTCCGAGCCAAACTTTTCCCACACTGTGTGCAAGTAATTTTTTTTCCTCCACTGTGAATTCTCATGTGGCCTTTAAGGTTGCCACTTTGCTTAAAACTCTTTCCACACTGTTGGCACGTGTAGGGCCTCTCTCCAGTGTGAATTCTCATGTGCACTGCAAAGTTTCCTGCATGATAGAAGGTTTGTTCACACTGTTGGCATGTGAACGGCCTCTCTCCAGTGTGAATTCTCATGTGGGTTTTTAAGCTTTTTTTTTGACCAAAGCTCCTTCCACACTGTTCACAAGTGTAAGGTTTCTCCCTAATGTGAACTCTCATGTGATCACCAAGGTTAAGCTTTTGAATGAAACTCTTTCTACACTGTTTACTTCTGAAATTACACTCAGATTTGGATTTCTGACTGCTGCATGAAGTCTTTGCCGTCAGTGTGGGTTTTTCATCAGCTGTTATTTCTTGGTGTTGCTCTTCCATTTTATTCCATTGATGGGTCTCTTCTTTCAGCACCATCAGGTCTTTAAAAAAAAGAAAAGTAAACTTTATTATGAAGGCACAAAGCAACAAGCATGAAATTGATGTTTCACCCAAAAATTAAAACAACCTAACCATTTACTCTCCGTCATGTGGTTTTAATAATTTCCTTTCTTCTGGAACATAAAGTAAGCCAGCGTTATTTGTTCAGCAAAATCAAGAAACTCAAAGATTTAAAACCACCCGAGGGAGAGTAAATGGTGAGGCTATTTTCATTTCTGCGTTAACTATCCCTTTAAAGGGCTCCTATTATAAACCTTTTTTTACAAGATGTAATATAAGTCTTTAATTTTTCCAGAATGGGTCTAGGGTTTCGGCTCAAAATCAGATCATATACCTTGCAGAATATTTCATTTTGGGGTCAGAGGAAAACCAAGCTCTTTTTGTGCCTGTGGCTTTAAATGCAAATGATCAAATGCACTCGGTCTAGATTACTCAGGTTGTGCTCCATCATGTGTATCTTCCACTCAACATTTTTAACTTGTTTGGAAGACCTGGTTTAGACAAATCCTGCATGTTCATAGCAAGTGCACATAATTCATGCTCATATTAGTGAGTTTGCATTATTGTATATCATCCGCTGTTTAAAATATATGCCGGATAAGTTGGTGGTTCATTCAATGAATAAACTTCTGCAAATGTTTAATGCCACATTTGCTGTAAACTTGAGTGATGAACACCCATGATTATTTTATAACCCCTAGGGGCTGTTTCATAAAAGTGGTTCAAAAAAGCGGGGATTAAAGTAAAAACCTGACTTTAGTGAGCCGAACTAAACGTCCACACTTTAATTGGTTCCATAACAGCAAGTTGAAGATCATTTGATGTAATTAATCTGAGATCAGCTGAAATATTCTAGATAACTACTCGTGCACGTAACTGTCATGAAACCCTGAAGATGCATCATTATGATTATGTTGTATGCTACCCTGGCAACTACAATGAAAGAAAGAGCTCTTAAACTAGACACCACAATGTTCACAGCGAGGGCATAGCATTTGATTTTTTAGTTCAAATATATAATAATTTAAACATAATCAAAAAGTACGGCTTGAAACAATACAAGAAAAAGGGCTGACAGGAAACTGCAGATTTTAAAATATAGGTCATTATTTAGGCCTATTAACGTTAAGTTAAATATTTGTCACAATACATTGAAATATGTACTTGTGTGCAAGAGAGAATATGCACTTACTGCCAATTGTAGCTTGCAAGGAAAAGTCTTAATGCCTAGCAGGCTCACTGTTACATTCAAAATGTACTTAACATCAGCACAATAAGTTTAAAATAATGCCCACAAAGAGCCGTGCACACACAAGCAGAGGGATTTGTTATTTGCTCTCGAAACTGCTGCAAATGACTGCTTACCCTTTGAAAACATTTGTTCCCCTTTGATTATTATTAGAGCGTTAACTCATGCGATTAATTTGATTTATATAATGTGTTAAAAAAATTTACGCAGTTGCTGTTATATTAACAGCAAAAAAACTGTAAAAACTGTTTACAAGGTAGACTCTTAATAAGAGTATTAATCATATTAAAATGGAAGTATTGGTGTCCATATAAATGTACTCAGTAAAAGTGCCAGATGATGTCGCGATCTGTCAAAGACATCTGCATTCGTCTGCCTTTAAAATGATTCCATGTGCGCTCTAATGTTTCTTTAAGTTCAGGGGCGGACTGGCCATCTGGCAGACCAGGCAGTTTCCCGCTGGGCTGACGTACTTTTTGGGCCGGGCTGATCATCATCTTATGATCTGATCGGCCCATAAAAGGCTTAGCAGCCTATCATTTTATTCTGCCTTATTAATTGACGCTGCTGTGATCTGTGACTCTTTGAAAGTAAGACGTTTTTTTCCACGACAGACAGACCGGGCCGGCCCTTGCGACACTCTGCAGCCCATTGGCCTTTCTGTATTGACATTGGGCTGGCCCAATCACAAACTCCTATTTTGGACTCTGTGTGAGCATGTATCGTCTGTGTGTATTTGTCAAAATAGTCGAGAATCAGACAGAAGAAACGGAAGGGAGGAGCAGAGAAATCGCGGGAAATACATCGGCGTTTCATTTAGCGGTTCTGAAAAGTTCTCTGTTCATTCTAGTACACGGCTAAAACGCAAATCACGTGACCACACACACTCTGCCCAGAGCTGCAGCCAGTAGTCCAGCGGGTGTGCATATACCCCAGGTGAGAGCATAGTGGATGTCACACAGTTCATCTGCTGGATGATCTCATCTCTCTATAGTTGTTAAACGTGATATTGAATTCATCTTGTTGTTTATCTAACAACTCTTATGTCTTTTGAATCACTTGTTCTCAGGTAACTCTGTTTTGGTTGAGTGCAAAGATAAGCTAATATATTAATTTATGTAACACACTGATTCTGCACATTGACTGATTTCTTACCTTTATCATATAAATTTATTGTATGTTATACTGTTATAATGGCTATTATTGATTATTAAAACTGATATTCTGCAAAAGAGACGGGGTAAAGTTTGTTCTTTTCAATGAAAAAGAAAGAAGACAGTTATATTTAAGCCCTGTTTTGTTATAAATATGCAGAGTGAAGATGATGCTCATATAAATATGCAGCTACACGAGGCTGTTTGGTGTCTGTTAATCATAATATCAAAATGAAAAAAATTTTCCTTATGTTATGTTTTCATTGTTTAGATAGTGAAACAGCAAGCAGGATGAGATTAAATGAGGTTATAAAGTACACGGTTCCCTTTGAAGATTTACCCATGCATTAACAGGCAGTTTTTGTTATGTTTATTATCGAATATAGGTTGAGTGAATAGTGTATTGAATAAGCTAAATTGGCTATAGTGTACGTGTGTGAGTGAATGAGTGTGTATGGGTGATTTCCAATATTGGGTTGTGGCTGGAAAGGCATCTGCTGCATAAAACATGCTGGAATAGTTGGCAGTTTCCTTTCGCTGCGGCACCCCTGATAAATAAGGGACTAATGCAAAGGAAAATAAATGAATGAACAGTGTATTTTTTAGAACTCAACAAATATCTTTATGGACACTATACAGAATTAAATTGAGATTAATGTATGTATTTATTTATTTCATATATATGGCTTTTGTGTTTTATAAAACAGAAGTTGATAAAAATATTTGACATGTACAGATAGATAGCATTTTGATTGAATGTAGTGGGCCGATCTGGCCCAAAATGCCAGGGCCGATTTTTTTGCCCAGTCCAGCCCTGGTTGCCAGAGTAACTGAGTTTGAACTATCGTAAATTTGATTTATGAAACTGAATCCGCCATTATTAAACCTGACTTACCAAAATAAGCCTGGCATTTTCTCTAAGCTTGGTTTATGGAACAGGCCCCTGGTATAGCATGATCATTGTGGAACGTGATTACAGATAACCCAGATTCTCTTCATCCAGGAATAAAATGACTCAAAGTTAACAATTTGAAGTGTGAAAAGCCCTAAAACTACTCAGCATCAGCTCTCAGGATAAACAGAGCACAATGACAAACCGCAACAATTCTCAATCATGTCATAGTTGTGACCTAATCTCATGCTTTTGTTTTAGAACTTCAGTTGCCTATTGGGGAATTGACCAGAAATAATGAATGGCAGAAAACAGTCACACTCCTTGCTCTACAAACAAGTGTGTTCATGACTATACATACAAAGAAAAATAATAAAATGAGAAAATATGACTATGCAACATCAAGCAGCATTAGGCATGGACCAGTTTAAGATTCTGAAGGTATGATAACCTAAAATATATTTTCTTCTGAGAAACTTTTAAAGTATTTTGGAGCAGTAAACATGTCAGGCTAAATCATTCAAATGAATCACAGATTTCTTTACGATTTAAAACAGCATCTTTGGATATCTTTTCTGCTGGAGATACTGTTGTCCTAAAAAACTTAAAACAAAAAAAAACCTTACATATACTGTAGGAACGGTGCAGCAGAAAATGTTGGCGGTTTTAAAACCTTGACTATTCCAAACTGCGGTAAACCTTGAAAATAGTTATCGTCATCTGCCTAAGCAGCATAACACTGATATTTAGGATCTAAAAATGTATTCTTTAAAAAAGAATTTTCTCAAGCAAAAAGATTCCAATGGTGATGCCTGTTGGTGCATGAAGAATATGGTCAATATTCTGAGACTGTACAATATTTTATAACAACTATTTTAGTGTCCATTTCACTCAGCATGTTTAATATTGGGGGCATCCACATTTTCTTGACATACTTAAGACTAGGGGATCTGTTTTTATGACATTTTTAAGACCATTATGAATGAAAATGTTTATGGCCTAAAATGTTAAGTCTTCTATGAAAATACTGTAGGTCAAATATCATCAGCTCAGTTAAACCTTTTATTGATTTATTGTTTTAATTTATTTTATATAGCGCCAGTGTTCATGGACGCTTTACAAACAGTAAAAGAACAAGAAAAGCAATAACCTTAAGAAGGTAGAGAAAATGGGAGATAATAATACATAAAATAATGACAAAAGACCTGAGAACAAGTGATGAAAGAAACTCATTCCTGTCTTTCAATGAGTGCTTATGTGCATTTAGGAGAACTAGGCAGCACACTCAGGGCTGCAAGATGGATTTAATTTAGTGTTTTTATTATTAAAATATATCTGAATGAGGATCAGATGACTAAGTTCGTGTTTGAGAATGAACATCAACCTGTTTGTTCCTGTGGATCTTCCTGTTTGACTGTGAATGTTTCTTCAATCTTCACATCTTCACTCTCCTCTTTAATAAACGCCATCTTTATAACAGTGTGGAGATCAGTCGCTTCAGCAGGAGTTTTTCTCTGTGTTTGGACACTTTATCCTATTTAAAATGAACAAAACAATAAAAATGTTCTGTTTAAAATAAATAAAACAATGAACAGAAACAAAATAAGTTATCTTTAACACTTGCTTCAACAGTTTCTTTTAATGAGAGTAATTAACAAAAAGAAATCAGGTAAAACATTTCTTTAAAACAGTGGTTCTTAAAGTGAGGGTCGGGACCCCCTGAGGGGTTGCGGGACAATGAAGGGGGTTGCCTGGTGATTTCCAAAAATCTATTTATTTTTAGCATACCATAAGAATTACCATTGTTTTTCCATAACCTACTGAAAAAGGTTGTTTATAGTTACTATATATTATATTTAGTTACTGTTGTAGCTTATAGTTACTAGTTCTATTGGATTGCGAGCCCTGAGGTAATTACATTATATTAAAGACACAGATGCAGCAGATTGATTTAAGAATACCAGGTCAAACTTTCTGGCACATTTACAGCATTCACATACATTTAAAAAATTAAACGAAGAATAGACCTGAGTCTATTGGTGTGCGTGCACCATTGCATGCAAGGTTTCTGTATTTATTGGTTTTATATTTGCACATTCGAACTTTACCCTTAATAATATAATTTCATAAAAGTATTATTCGCAAGCTCTAAATAACGAAATCATATGTGACTATCAATTGTTGTCATTGTTCACAGTCAAATAAACAGTGTTAATGTTGTTTTCAAGTCACACTTGCATGCTTATTCCGATCGAAAATTCAAAGTAACATAGTAAGCAATATAGATAGAGGTAAAGTTGGTTTTATATTCACACATTTTTTTATTTAGAAGTCTCTATATTGTACACCATGTTATTTTGAATATTCGATTGGAATTAGCATGCAAGTGTAACTTGAAAACAACATTAACACTGTTTATTTGACTGTGAACAATGTTGTACTTTGATAGTCATTGGCTGCTAATATGATTTTACTATTTAGAGTTTGCAAATAATACTGTTATGACATTATATCATTAAGGGGGAAGTCTGAATGTGCGAATTTAAAACCTACTTTACCTCTGTTTGGGGGCCACAGGTCACTGGCATCATTATTTTGGGGGTCGCGGGCAGAAAAGTTTGGGAAACACTGCTTTAAAACACATTTTACACCCTTTTCTGTTTCAAACAATAGCCCTCGGTTACTAAGAATAAAATAGTACTACGCTGTATAGATGGTTAAAATAATATTTCCAACAGCGGGTACATAATGTAGCATCAGATAAAAAAACTGAAACTTTAATTAAATCGGTTTATATCTGTAATTGTTTTAAAACAAACCTTTCTCCAGTTGAATCACAGCGCTGAAGCGGCGCCGCCTGATGACGTCACGCGCCAAAATAAAAGTTTTTTTTTTTAGCTTTTTTTGCCACTCACTGTTGCAGTTATGACTTATTCATACATTTCTCCCATGTTTTTCACTTTTTTCATATGAATCGTTGTCTCTTATTATCTGTGTTCCACGTTTCCTGCCATTTTTTAGCAATATCTTCAGTAATAATATTTAATTTACCTTTACTTTCAGAAGCATTAAAGGGGTAGTTCGCATAAAAATTACAATTCTGACATTTACTCATTCTCTACTTGATCCAAACCTGTTCGAGTTTCTTCTGCTGAATGCAAATGAATAGAATACAGGAGCAAAAACAGCCACTATATGCTTCAACAGTTCCTACTTTGGACATGGCTGCTTTTTTCCACATTTTCTTGCAAACAAAATGTTCTTGGAACTCAATTACAATTGAACCACTAAAGTCAAGTCACAGGTTTAGACAATGTTTTTGGTTCCTTTTCTGGACTTTGAGCACCGGGACTCTTGCTGTCAATGACAGATGAGGGAGCTCTCTGACTTTATCTAAAGTGTCTTCATTCGCATTCTGAAGATGAGCAAAGTTCAGGATATTGAAACAACAGGTAGAGGGACAATTGTTCACAAGTGCCTAGTGTACACTTTAACACACGCCTGCCACCACTGCTGATAAACCGCCACATCGCACTGCTTATTAAAATTAATTTATACATTTTTTTATTGAAATAACAACAGGCCATAACAACAAATAGAAATACAAAAACTGATAGCACTTCTCCTCGTGTGATATTACTCATATATTCATTCATTTTCTTTACGGCTTAGTCCCTTTATTAATCAGGGGTCGCCATAGTGGAATGAACCGCCAACTTATCCAGCACATGCTTTACGCAGCGGATGCCCTTTCAGCTGCAACCCGTTACTGGGAAACAAGCACATACACTCACTCACATGCACTGCATGCATACCGCATGTCTATTGACTTTGAGGAAACCAGACCATCCGGAGGAAACATCATGCGAACAAGGGGAGAACATGCAACCTCCACACAGAAACGCCAACTGACATAGCTGAGGGTCGAACCAGCAACCTTCTTGCTGTGAGGCGAACGTGCTACCCACTGTGACGTCTCACATGTATAATTATTTAAGGTATTAAACTGGTATTGGTGAATAACTATGCTTAAAAATGGTTGTTATTTTTAAAATGTGTGAAAAGGCACCGATCAGATGTAGCAATTGTATTGATCTGGGCAATCAAGCATGTATTGTTATAGACACCTATTCTTATTTGTCTTAAGAGATGTAAGGCAGGTCTTGTTCATGTAATATGCTTTAGGCTATCAAGTTGGTATTGGAACGAGCAGCTATACTCGTCAACCGGTTTCTTATATGTAAAACAGTCCTATTCAGTTAATGGTGTGGCCTATCATGCAGCTATTAATAAATACGACTGCACATGACGATGATCCATTTATTTAAATGAATATGTGACACAGATATTGAAATTTCATTGTTGCAAACAAGTTACAGGAGTAAGTGCAGTTGTTGCTGTATGTGATGTCCACCACTTTAAACACACCATGGTAAAAAATTATTCTGAGAAATGGTGTAGTTGCTGTAGGTGGAGCAGGTTAACCAGCCTGAATTACTCTGTATAAACTGCCCATACAATAATTTAACTTGTGATGTAATTATTTTCTAATTATAAATATATAGATGCATGACAGATTTAATATTGGACTCCACAAGGGTAAGACCACAGCTTAAAATCGCATCACGTGATTGCATGAGACCTATAAAAGATCAAAACATGACCTCTCTGTACAAAAAACTTCAATATGGAGCAATCGCTCACTTTTATCAACCTCTAATCCTATTGTTTTATCCCGTCCCGTTCTACAGCATCATACAACAGAATTTCAAAAGCACAAACTAGTGTGGACACGGCAACTTGCTTTCAGATTACCTCTGTCCAGCTGCTACTAGGCAGAGTGGGTGCATTTAGAAGCTGCTGTGCTGTGGAAGTTCCTGACTAGAAGTTGCTTTCTTGATTTGTTTGTGTTACTTGTTGGTTGAACCTTTAAAGTGTTGTGATTTTTGCGCATTGACTCGACTGCATTGATTCCTTTGTCTATTAGGCTATTTTCAATTTGATTTCAGAATTTCACAGAGTGAGTGCATTTTCGCTCCTTCTCAAGGTAAAGAGATAAAGCTCCGGAAGTTGACAAAATCAAATAAACCCAACCTAGTTTAAAAAACTTAAATTTGAAGCAAAAAAGATGCTGGAGGACAGGATCAGATATATGGCACTTTACTCACACCTGATTGCCTCTGCAGATTATACATAACATTTCACAGCACCTGAAATTAACACAAATGAGTTTGAAGTTACAGAGTGTCTCATCCATTTGTGATTAATGTACAAACAATTATCTACAAAGACCAAAAGTAGCAAATAATCGACAGTATGTGATCGCTTTACTGTGTTAAAAGAAAAAAAGGTTTTGTCACAGAGTATCTTTTATATTCTCTTGTGAATATCTATGCATATTTGTATGCACAAACACAAGTGATAATCAGAGGGGAAAACATCTTTGTTACATACCAGGTGAATAAGAGGTTTTCGAGAGAGCTGAGCTGCTCACGCATGTTCTGTTCAACTAAAAAACGAAGGAAAGAAAACAAAATTGGCACAGAAACAAGTTACATTTTGATTGTTAAAATGTGAAGACATTTTTGGAAAGAAATAATTGACCTGTTAAGAGTGTGTTGACTGTCTTACAGAAACCAGTAAAGAGCTGCATGTGCTTTAAGAGAAATAAAGGACTCTAAACTCACATAAAGAACAAGTTCAGTGATAAATAAATGACAAAAAAAATGCTAATAGATAGCTCATATCAATATATTGACTAAACTTGACAAATAAAACCTCAATGTGAAGTTCAGAAATTGTTTCTTTTAAAAAATGATAATATATCACTGTATAATAATATAAGACTTACATGACTATTATATAAGTGAATGTAGCTGTATGTATTGAGACATCAGTGTGGCTTGAGTCTTCAATGGTCATTTGCATCTTTACACAAAGACTTCAGCCAAGCAACTCTGAGAAGCTTCTACAAAAACAACACACAACTCTTGCATTACCTTTTAACCAGGCTTGGGAAAAAATAAATTGAAATGTCTTTCAAATCAAAATACCTCAACATAAGTGTGTCAATATTATCAACAACATGCAGCAGCCAAACTAAAAAATAAGCTTCCATCAATAGTCCTATTCACCTTATTCTCAGCTGTCGAGCGGGCGCTGCCATTTGAATCTTTTTGTCTCGCGACTTCCGGTCACATTCACTTCCATTCATTTTTTGACGTTAACAACTGCTCGTTACGCTGCTTGATGTTGCAATTTAATATTTTCTTATTATATTATGCTTCTTGGTCTGTGTAGTCATGCAAACATTTGTTTGTTGAGCAAGTAGTTTGGCCATTTTCTGCCGTTTATTATTCCTAGTCATTTCTCCCATATGCGACTGAATCGGAAGTTCTAAGACAATCGCGAAAACAGGCACACTTCCGCGTTTTAGAATAAGGTCAATAAAACAAAAGCAACAAATCAAATGAAGATGGCTAAAGTCAACTTATTTTCCCAATACATCATTATTTCTCTGTAAAACTGGTTTGTAAAGCTACTGAACTTTCCATCCCCCACGGTATGTGTCTTGAGTCTTCACTGCTCTCCACTGCTCATTTGCATCTTTATACCAGCATTAATGGGGGCCAATTGAGTCTTATCCAATCACATTCCAGATCCTGTAGCTCAGCAGGGTTGTATCTATATATTCTGGGTTCCTAACAGAAACGTCATTGGCTTATTTTGCTAAGTAAAGAGAACAACTTTGGATGACAAACTACAATTGTTGATTCCTACATTGGGATCATTACCAACAACAACCTACAAAGAAAAGCCCACTGAGGCCATTTCTCATCCCACATATTCATTGAAGACTGGAAAGGTGAGTTGCACATTCTGAATTTACTCTTAAAAATATCTGATTGCTAACATTATAAAATGTGAAATCTAAACATGCGTGGATGCACTGTTCAACGTTGAATTAAAGTTCTTCAGTCATTTTTAAAAGCTTCTATACAACTATTTATTTAGTTTTTTGTTTGTTTGTTTATTTGGTTATGAATATTGTTTTTATCCTGACAAATGGACTGTAGCCCAGTTTCAACCTAAGTTAACCTAGTTAAGTTTCAACCTATTACATATATAAGTTGGAACCTGGCAGGCAGTTTTGGAGAATTTGATGTTTCCCCATTCAAACATACAAAGAGGTGGCAACATCAATGGAATGCAAAGATTGATGGTCTTACAAATACAAAACAGAAAGCAGATAAAGTATAAAGTGGAAAATGTATCAATATTTCATGACAAAGAGTAAGTAGGGGAAAAGCTAAACAAAAAAAGACTTTTACTTTGGCGTGGTCGTATATCTGCGCCGCTCCCGCACTGGGATTCAACTGGAGAAAGGTTTGTTTTAAAGCTTTTACACCAATGTAAACCAACTGATTAAAATTTCAGGTTGTTCATATAATGCTAGATGTACCTGCTGTTGACAATATTATTTTAACCCTTTATACAAAGAAGTAGTATTTTACTCACAATAAGGTCTATTGTTTGAATAAGACTTTATTTGTCCCCGAGAAGAAATTCTTGTCTTGTGCAAAAGAGTGCTACAACGTTGCTGTAAGCAGACAATTAAATAAATAAAACAAACAAAATAATTAACAACATTTGTTAAAGTTTAAATAAAGCAACATTTAAGTGTGTAATAAGTGTTTTAATGAAGGTTTAATTTGTTAAATTGCATGATGTCATTCTATTCTAAATATACATCACTATATATAAGAAATAGAATAATGTTACTTGTTTTAATCAGCTTATTTGTTGCTATTGTTTCTTGCTCGCACTTACCTGATTTATTTTTGTGAATTACTCTCATATAAAGAAATTGTTAAAGCAAGTGTTTAAAAGAAGTTATTTTGTGTCTGTTCATTGTTTTATTTATTTTAAACAGGACATTTTTATTGCTTTGTTAATTTTTACAGGATAAAGTGTCCAAACGCAGAGAATATATATATATATATATATATATATATATATATATATATATATATATATATATATATATATATATATATATATATATATAAGGAATGACTAGTTAAAACATGTAGTAGTAATGAATAGTTTTTACTTGAAGGGCACCTATTTTACCTCCCTTTCATAATTTAAGTCTTTTACGTCTGTAAAGTTTCAGCTTAAAACACCCATCAGATTATTTGTTATACATTTTAGAACGTTGAGATTTTCTGCTTTAAACACTTCGACTTAGTGATTAAACACGTTTTTTAAATTGTCTTAAAATGTTTAGAGTAGAGGATTTGATTAACTCCAAATATGTGTGTCTGTGTATGTCAGAAAGTGGAGGGAGAAATGTGTCAATAAGTCATGACTGCAACAGTAAGTGGCAAAAAAAAGACTTTTATTTTGGCGTGGTGTGTGACGTCACAAGCATGCGCCGCTCCCGCGCTGTGATTTAACTGGAGAAAGGTTTGCTTTAAAGCGTTTACCCTTATATAAAACGATTGATTAAGGTTTTTTTTTTAAATTAAGTGCTAAATTATGTACCTGCTGTTGACAATATTATTTTAACATTTTATACAACTAAGTACTATTTCACTCACAGTAATGAGATCTATTGTTTGAATAAAGATAGGATAAACTTTTTGTCCCTGAGAGGAAATTTGTCTTGTGCAAAAAAGTGCTACACCTATAGAGGTAAAGTTGGTTTTCTATTCACACATTCGTTCATTTAGAAGTCTCTATATTGTTTACCATGTTACTTGAATTGTTACTTGAATGAATTAGCATGCAAGTATAACTTGCAAACAACATTAACACTGTTTATTTGACTGTGAACAATGTTGTACTTTGATAGTCATTGGCTGCTAATATGATTTCACTATTCAGAGCTTGCAAATAATACTTTTTATGAAATTATATTATTAAGGGGAAAGTCAGAATTTGCGAATATAAAACCAATTTTACCTCTATTTACACGTTGCTGTAAGCAGACAATAAAGTAAATGAAACAAACAACACGATTAAGAACATACCTGAATAAAGTTTCAAAAAAAGTTACAGAGATGTAACAGTGTGTAATAAGTGTTTTAATGAAGGTCTAATTTAATGTTAGTCCATTCTAAATTTACATCAATATATATAAGAAATAAAGTACTAGCTTTAATCTGCTCATTTGAAGCAAGTGTTGAAGAGAAGTTATCTTATTTCTGTTATTTCTGTTTTGTTCATTTTAAACAGGATAAAGTGTCCAAACTCAGAGAAAAACTCCTGCTGAAGCGACTGATCTCCACACTGTTATAAAGATGGCATTTATTAAAGTAGAAAGTGAAGACCTGAAAATTGAAGAAACATTCACAGTCAAACAGGAAGATCTGCAGGAACAAACAGGTTGACTTTTATTCTCAAAGACCGACGCAGTCATCTGATCCTCATTCAGATATATTTTAATAATAAGAATACTAAATCCATCTTGCAGCCCTGAGTGTGCTGCCTAGTTCTCTTAAATGCACAAAAGCACTCATTAAAAGACAGAATGAGTTTCTTTCGTTACTTGTTCTCATGTTTTTTGTCATTATTTTATGTATTATTAGTCTCCTATTTTCTCTACCTTCTTAAGGTTATTGCTTTTCTTGTTCTCCTACTGTTTGTAAAGCATCCTAGAGCACTAGTACTATATAAAATAAATAAAAACAATCAATTAAAAAAGTTTAACTGAGCTGACGCTATTTGACCTACAGTATTCTCATAGAAGATATCTGCTATTACAGTGATAGTTTTGGCTAGAGTTAGAATTAAATCATTATTATAATAACTAATTACCAGGGCTATTGTGTTTAAACAGAGTGTTTCGCAGGGTCTTAAAATGTCTTAAATTCCTAAATCTAAATCTAAAAATGCCTTAAAAACTCTTAAATTTACTGAAATATTGTGTTGTAGGTCTTAAGTCTTTTTAAACAAGTCTTAATTTTCCTTTGTTAATGTTTTGCTACCCAATCTGGCCAAAACCCATTCAATCACCAGCAATCCATCTCAATAAAACTTTTTATTCAAAATTGTCATTTTAACTCGGTTTATCATAATGGTTTAATTATTTTCCTTACAATAATATTTGCATAAATGTGCTCCTTGTATTTACTGCTGAGGACATCGACCTGGACAGATTATTGTGCAAAGATTTAGTTAATTATAGTTTTTAAAACATTTAAAACCTTTGTTTATTTTTTTTATTATTTTTTACATTTTAAAAAAGTTTAGGTTGAAAAAAGTGTACGGATACAGGTAAAGCTTGTTTTTACACAATATAATTTTTTTTTTTTGCTAAGAAATATATAAAATACTGTGTTTTTATATTAATTTATTATTGTATTATTAAATGTATTTATTTATTTTTATATATAACATAATTATATATAGAGCAAATAAAACCCTTTTCCATCTGGGGTATTTGAAAAATTCCTTATACTTTAACCCTTCTTGAGTCAAAAATGTTAACCCTGGTTTAAAGTATGTCAGAAAACGTAGATGCTTTAATTTTAAATATGCTGGATAAAATGGACACAAAAAAATATTTATTATTTTAAAACATTGAACTACAGTATTCTAAATTATATGACGATTTTGTGGGACGACATGAGACAAAACAAATTATAGTGGAATAATAACGTTTAGCATTGCACTAACTACAACAGGCCAACAAACTAGTTTAAAAATGACTTTTGCAGTTTAAGAAATGGATTACAGCATGCTGATGATATGCAAACATTTGAGTGTGAAGTTCGTCAGTATTGACCATATTCTTTACGTACCAGCTGGCGCCTTGGAATCGTTTTGCTTGAGACTTTTTTTACAGAATGAATTTTTAGATCCTGAAAACAGTGTAAAGACCCACGCACACCAAGATGTTTTTTGCGTTTTCTGTCGACATTTAACACCTTGTGACTATATAAAGGGCATCAATGTGATGGTGCACACCACACGCAAATCGCCAGGCATAAAAAAAAGCATAATTTTTAAAGAAACGCCTCATGCTCGTTTTTTTTTTTTTTTTTTATTTGATGCGCGCCGTTAAAACCTTCACTAATCAGGTTGGCACTTTTGTTCATGTGCACGGAGCTGCTGAAGTTACAGTAAACAGCCCTTGGAGGCGCTCAAGCTCAAAACTGTCAATGCGAGCGCACATTGAAGAAAATGCCCAGAGTCGATATCAACGTGGAGCTGCTTATTGCTCTGTGAACAATAATCATTTCTCCATCGCTGGAGCTGCTACTTGAACCAGCCATGCTTGTTCGAGTCACTAGTAACTTTAAAGGGCCATAAAACCCCCCGTTTCAGCAGGATGTTTGCATACCTCTAGTTTGGAAAAAGTCAGGAAAGTGGGTGTTTCTTGCTCTGTTTGGGTGGGAGTGTCGGTGGAGGTAAAATAGGCAGGTTTTGAATAAAAAAGGGAGTTGCCTTTTGTGCACGCGCTTCTGACAGAGGACAAACAAACACACACGCAGGGGAGAAAGACAGTGTGTTTAATGACAGTAAAATGTTTGATACTGCAGGTCATATAAGAGAAAAAAACCTCTGCACTTCTCTGTAACTCAGATGCACTCTGAAAGCCGTGTGTAGGTCACAAACCCCCGGGTTAACATTATTATTTGTATATTTACGTTGTCACTGTCCCTGATGGGACAAACTGTAGTTAACTTTTTTAGATGGCATTTCTGCATCTTGTCGGGTATATAAAATATCTTAATGTCTTATCTAAATGTCTTTATGTAGGTTTTTATCTAAGCATCAGGTCATGCACAAAGACAAGTACAAGTGAAGTTTATTTATAAACTAATCTCGAGGATCACATGCTTATGATTGCTTGCAGCTGGTTTCACATTACTCAATTTATGATTCACCAATCACACGATTCCTAAACCACTATAAATACCCTGAGTTCCATGTCACAGCCATCTTCGTTTCGAAGAATCCCCCTTCCACCCCTACTCCTCCTTTCCTAGAAGGGTGGCACGATTTCCCAGTGGTTAGCACTGTTGCCTCATGACGTTTCTGTGCAGAGTTTACACATTCTCCCGGTGCTCACATGGGTTTTCTTTCCACTGTCTAAAAACATGCAACTTAAGTTACTTGACTAATCCAAATCGGCACCATAGACATACTCCTAGTAAGTAGTCATCTCTTAAGAACAATCACTTTCTGTTCATTAGCTACTACAGAAGAGTTCTCGAGAACTCCCCTTTCGTCTTGCAAATGGGAGCCCCAGGCTCGTTAAGTGTAAACTTTTGAAATAAATGAAATGAAGTAGTAAAGTATGTCATCTTGCCATCTCATTATCACTCCAGTTTACAGCAAACATGGCATTAAGCATTTGCATGTGCTCACTCATTCATTTTCCTTCAGCTTAGTCCCTTTATTCATTAGGGGTCGCAACAGCGGAATGAACAACTAACTTCTCCAGCATTTATTTTAAACTGTGAATGCCCTTCCAGTTGCAACCCAGTACTGGGAAACATTTGTTATATAACATAATTTATCTACAATAATTCAAACTCAGAAATATAGGCGTAAGTTATGTGTACTTGCTATGAACATGCAGTATTTGTCTCAATCAGGTCTTCCAAGCAAGTTACAAATGTTTAAATCCAGTGGAAGATGCACATGAGGCAACACAACATGAATAATCTAGAATGAGTGCATTTGATCATCTGCATTTAAAGCCACAGGCACAAAAAGAGCTTGGTTTTCCTCTGACCGCCAAAATTATATTTTCTTCAAGGTATATAATCTGATTTTGAACTAAAACCTCAGACACATTCTGAGAACACCAAAGACTTATTTTACATCTTGTAAAAAAAGGTTCATAAAAGGAACTCTTTAAAGGGATACCATTTTACTCTCATGTTTACATGTGGTTTTAAACCTTTGAGTTTCTTGATTCTGTTGAACACAAAAGAAGATACTGTGAAAAAAATGCTGGCTTACTTTGTGTTCCAAAAGAAAGGAAATGTTTAAAACCACATGACGCAGAGTAAATGGTAAGCTCATTTTAATATCTGGATGAAACATCCATCTTTTGCTTGTCACTTTGTGTCTTCGTACTAAAGTTAACGTTTTTTTTTTTTTGTTTTTTTAAGACCTGATGGTGTTGAAAGAAGAGGCTCATGAACAGAATGAAATGGAAGAGAAACTCCAAGAAATAACGACTAATGAAAAACCTACACTGACTAAAAAAACTTCATCACGTGGAAGACCTCCGAAATCCAAATCTGCGCGTAATTTCGGCAGTAAACAGAGTAGAAAGAGTTTTAGTCAAAAGTCAAACCTTGATGTTTACACTAGGGAGAAACCTTACACCTGTGAACAGTGTGGAAAGAGTTTTGGTCACATACAAGGCTTTGAAAACCACATGAGAATTCACACTGGAGAGAAGCCTTTCAGTTGTAAACAGTGTGGAAAGAGTTTCACTCAAAAGGCAAACCTTGATGTTCACATGAGAGTTCACACGAAGGAGAGGCCTTACACCTGCGAACAGTGTGGAAACAGTTTTACTTATAAACAAGGCTTTACAACCCACATGAGAATTCACACTGGAGAGAGGCCGTACACATGCCAACAGTGTGAAAAAAGCTTCTATCATCCAGGAAACTTTGCAGTGCACATGAGAATTCACACTGGAGAGAGGCCGTATACATGCCAACAGTGTGGAAAAAGCTTCTACCAATCAGGAAACTTTGCAGCGCACATGAGAATTCACACTGGGGAGAGGCCGTACTCTTGCATCCAGTGTGGAAAGAGTTTTAAACAAAATTGCACCCTTGAAGTCCACATGAGAACACACACTGGAGACAGAAGTTTTATTTGCACACACTGTGGGAAACATTTTTCTCAAAAACATGACCTTAACATCCACATGAGGATTCACACTGGAAAAAAACCTCCCACATGCACACAGTGTGGGAAAAGGTTTACTCAAAAAACAAGTCTTGACAACCACATGAGGATTCATACTGGAGAGAAACCTTACAGATGCACAGAGTGTGGGAAAACTTTCCCACATAAAAGCACACTCAAACACCACATGAAAACTCACACTGGAGAGAAGCCGTTTGCATGTGCTCAGTGTGGAAAGCGCTTTACAACCAAAGCTAGCCTCAAGAACCTCATGGATAATCACACTGGAACCATAGTGTTGACATGTGATCAGTGTGAAAAGAGTCTCACACGCAAAGACTCCATCAGGAAACACATCAGGAAGATTAACTCAGGAGAGGACACTTTTAGATGCAGTGAGTGTGGAAAAGGCTTTAAACGTAAAAGAAGTCTCAGCACTCACCTAAAGCTTCACATTAGAGAGCAGAGTCCCCAAAATTGAGGCCTTGTCCACACAAACA